AAGGATGCTGTGCTCATCTCTTCATCTGACTGACAGATAAGCTGCTTTATGAACTGCTGCTAAATCCTTATAATTTAAGACAAGACTATAAATGAGTGTGATGACAACGTCTGTCAGTGTGTCCATGAATTGTCACAAGTGCCACAATTGCTGGCTTTCATGAGTTTGAGTGGAATGGGTTGGAGAAGAGCAGGCTAAACAAATGTGGGGATTGTGACCAGAGAACTTGAAATTGTGGGGAGGGACAGGTAAAAATATTAAACATATACGAATGGTTTGTATAACCTTCATTAAAACAACCTTAATTTGCTTTTAAAACAGCTTCTGAGAGCCATTACTATGACCTTTTAGCTAAATTGTGATGAACAGATTATATTACCCCCCTGGCTATTCCTGTCCCCTTCAGCATGTGCTCTTTTGATTTATGTTTTTTTTAGTAGAACTGGATCAAAGCTCTACATGCCAGATTTTACTAGGTAAGGTTTATAATAAACTTGTCCAAGATTGCTTTTGAGGTCCTGTTTGACTGCAAGAGAAGGGATTTTGTGAAAAAAAGCAGGCCGGCGACCGTAGTGAGTGCCAGTGCCAGGAACATTCTCACTAGTCATGCTGCAGAACTGTGGTGTTCAAACCCTACCTCTCCTCATTATTAAAGCTCAGGACTGAAAGCAGTTCTGCTACAGATGTGCTTTAGCTTTTAATGTGTAAAATGAGGATAATGGGCTGTGCTTTATTAGGAGAGCCATGGACATTAGGCTTGTGAAGTTCTTTGATCTTTGAATGGAAGGAGCAGTATTTATTTAAAGACAAAGAAGGTATTTAGCCTTCAAGCAAATGAGATGGATTTCACGCTACAATTCTGCACATTTAAAGTCAGTCTTCTCTCTTGTAAGTAGTCTTGAGCTTTGCAAAAGTGAGTATTTCTTGCATTCGCATGTGGAAGTTTTACAGAGTGGCTTGTCTACGAATTGGCCTTGTAAAACAATTAAGCAATCAAATAAAGCTCTGTGGTGGATTCTGGCATCGAGTCCCTGGCTGGATGCCATCAGAATGTCAAGTGGAATTAGTATTTTAGCACTCTTGGTTTTCAGCATCACTGTTTTCAAAAATGAGTGGCCCTGGTGTGGAACCTCTTTCTATATTCTGATTCCATTAACACTTCCTTGAAAGCATTTGAAAGAAAATACTCTGGGTTTCATTCTTGATATAACACAGACTAATAGAGATGCTACATTGAAGTTAGGGAAGTAGGAGTGATACTGAGAGATGCTGCTGATTAATTTTAAATGTAAGCTTTGTTTTGAATAACTCACAAAGTCATTATCATGTAATGTGATCGTTAGAGTAATTGCTGGATTGAGAGGAGCACTCTGTAATTACTGGTTCATTGGTGAAGGTGATGCCTGCAGGGTCAGTGAAGGTGGGAGACAGCTCTGTACAGCCAAATTCTCAGCTGGGCAGGAAGTGTTTCTGGTATAATGTCCTCTGGAAGCATTTTTTGGTCATCTTCCCAGTTTACAGTGCTATTCTGTGGCAGCTGTTTAATAAGGAAGTGAAATACTGGGGAAGAATGAGAATAAAAACAAATTAGCCAGTGTTAGAAGTTAATTCCAGCAAATCATTTGGATTGCTTTTGGATTAAGGAACAGTAGCTCTTTGTATGAGGAGGGCAAAGAGGAAGTGCCTGTGTCTTTTGTAAGCTTTTATTTTGAAAAAACCACGTATTTGTGCTGCTGTAGGAATAGCCTTTGGTATATTTGTTTCAAGGGCCAAATTAAAAATTAATTTTAAAAGCCAGTGCTCCCAGTGTTTCTTGCCACTTGATCTTCCTGCCACTACTTTACAGCAGTTCTGGCTTTTCTGGTGCCCATCAGAACAATCTTGAGAGGCATTTAAAGATTTTTTTTTTTTATTATTATTAATTAGTCACAATTTTGGCATTACACACTGTCAGAATCAGCTGCTTTGTCAGTTCTGGTTTCTGTCTCACTATACATCAGTAGAACAGAAGTACAGATGAGTGTTAGGTAGCATTATTGAATTAATTTTCCTTTCCAGAGCCTGACCTTTGGTCACTAAAATGTTACAGTAAATACTTTATGTGGTTCTGCAGCACTTCTCTATTAATTCCTGGTGTTTTGGCAAAGGGAGATACAAGTATTGACTTAATTTTAAGTACTGAAATGTTAAGCATTTGTGATTCATTGTTTTATTGTTTAAAAGCACAATGTTTATCTGATATCACACTAAGTTATTCTGAGTTATTTGGAACAAGCATGAGGCTTTGTGCTTATGAAAACTCAAGGGTTGGGAGGAATAATGGTGTTGTCTCTGATTCTGGCTGTTTGTAGTTACACGAATTGAGTAACTTTTTAAATATATCCACAGACAACAGTGAAAACACATGGAAGATAAGTGTTTTCCTTGGTTCCTTATGAATGGCATTCCTAACAGTGCTTTCCATGACCTCTCCCTCACCTGCAACTTATCAGACTTCAAAATACGTTGCCAAAAGTGGTTGTAGTGAATCTCTGCCTCGGATTTCAATGAGTACCGTGGTAATAGCAGTATAAAAGGGCAAAGAGGCTCCTTGTATTTTTGAAGTTAAGTGGAGGTTTTAATTCAAGTGCTGTTTTTACAGAGCCTCAGTTGTTTTGTTTTGCTGTGATGCTCAGGACTATGTTTATCTTTGAACAAGCAGGCAGGTACATCAGGGAGTATTGCCTGGTAACATCACACCATCACCCTGGAAATCAGGGAGAGAGTACAAGCCATGTTTTCAGAAACTCTGAGTTAATTCTCAGCTTTGCTGAATTAATTTTTATTTTTCAAATTTGTATCATGTTCTTATTCCCAGTCTTTCACAGTTCTTGGTTGTGAGAGATGGGGGACAGAGGGAAGGTGGAGCCATAGGGTTTTAATGGTTGTAATTTGTTATAATCCTTTACAGCTATGAAGGGTTTAGTCTAAACATGCATCCTTCATGGTGTCCTAGTGCAACACTCAGTTAAGGTCACTGTCTAAAACCTTCTGTGAGAAAGTTCACTAAATAAATTGGGTTTTTTATGATGGGATGGGAGTCCAGATCAACTTCAGTTAGGTGGAATCTGTAAAAGAGAATTTATTTTCCTTTAGTAGTAGACTGGTATCATCCTTTTATACTGGCATGACAAAATACTAGCATTTTTTTCTTGTGACAAGACTGTATTTGTTTGTGTAAAGTAGTCCATAGTAGAAATTTTAAGCGCTTCATTTCTATGAAAAAGGAACAAAACAGCTGTGTATCTCACCAACAAGCTTATGTTCTCTTAGCAGAACATAAACAACAAAAAACTTTCCTATCTGTTGCTGCACTTAAATTTTTTGCATCCCAATATGTTTCTCTGGATGAAAATTCAAGGGTGAGATGTTATATCTCTTTAGAACTTAAAACAGTTAAAAACTGTGACAATACTTTGCAAGTAAATGTCTGTCTGTCAGTAAAACATCCAGGAAATCACAGTGGGTTTTCTTATTGCCAGATGAGAAACATAATGTGGAAATTCCATACATGACAGCATTTTTTGAGTCTTACTAATACTGACATATTCACAAGAGGATCCCAAGCTTGCTCTTAGCAGTGTGGGTCCAATGGGTTCAGTCTGAGTGCAGGAATAGGCAGCTAGGAAATACTCTCCAATTTTGTTCCCACATCTGCCACTTAACAAGACTTGAAGGTTCTTTAACCATCTGGAATACCAGTTTATAAAAAGCAAATAGGTTACAGGTATGAAAATGTGACAGTTTTTTTTAAACATTCAATACCTTGTTCTTAGTGTTTATGTCTAAGTGCAAGGTGATGGATTTGAGGTATTTGAAAGGCTTTGAATTCTTACACTTGTGTTTGAGTTGTAGGTAACAGAATATCCCCCTTTTAGGAGTTAATTAATAGAAAAAGGAGTTAATTAATAGAAAAAAGGTTTTCATCCAGGTATGAAACTAAAAACTGCTTTAATCAATAGTCTGGCAGGTGGAGGGGCTGTCAGGTCATGACTTCAGGATTGACAGCTTCTCCCACAGTTGGATGGGCACAGTACATCAGAGCAGAGAAATGCTCTGTTTTTCTGGGTGTTTGATGTATTTCCCTCACCTTGCCTCCACCTGAGCATTGCAGTGCTCTGCAAACACTTGTGAGTGGTGCAGCAGTGCTGTGCAGAGGGGAGCATCCCTGCTGACACTTGGCAGCTGGAAAAGCTGTAGCATTGGAAAATTGATTTCTTTGTTTTCTGTGTGTGTGATAAAAACTGAAAGGTGGACCTAAAAATTTTTGTCAGCTAGTTCTGGCTTTGTGCATTTTTTTCATTACTGCTTTTCAGAGCAGTTAAACTTTGTCCTGTTTGTAGGTACATAGTAACAAGGTTTTGTGGTTGTTTTGGTTTTTTTTAAACGATGCAATGAAACTTCAAAAATCTGTTTTCTTGGCTATAAAATGATGGTTGTTTTGTGAAAATGACTTACTAGAGAGGCATGGGGTGGAGGTAGCTGCTTGGTCTGCTGGTGTGTTAGAAAGTCTGGTCCTATTGCTTGTTGAAAGAAACAAAACTTTGGGGTTTTCTTTCCTAAGTTATACTGGATTCAAGAGCACATAATGTGATTTAGTTATGGTGATAATAGATTCTGTTGGTAGCCTCCTATCAAAATCAAATTAACTAACTTAAATTATGATTTGACTGTAATTTCATTACTAAAGCTGCCAATTAGAATCAAAACAAGTCTTAAACTCTTGTTATTTTATGTCAAGTGACTGGTATGGGAACTGTCAGTGGCTTTAGTTAAACAGTGTTTGATGAGTTAATTAGCTGAAAACTGCATGAGTACATTTTGAAGCTTTAAACTGTGACCTTTTGGCAATTAAAGTTAATTCATATTTCACTCTTTGTGCTAATCTTTGTTCTGTGTTACTCTTCAGTAGAAGGTTTTATGCTACAGATTTAAGCAATGCTTTATCGATCAGATGTTGAACAATTTTTGTTTATTCAGCCTTGCAAGCAAATCTGGGAGGTGCCAGGTCCCCAGAGAGGGAATCTTGAATCAGTGCTTGAGCCTGTTCCTGTGAGAGTATTTCTCCTGGGAGCCTCTGTGTGTGTTTAGCCATAACTGTATTTTCACACCTTGAAAATAAGCCAGAAGAGCCAAGACTGTTAAAACAAGGGGATCTTCAGGGCTTTTGTGCAATAAGAGATACATCAGAAGGCATGGAAAACCATATTAAAAGTTTGTCAGCAGAAGTTTGTTGGTCTCACTATTTCAGCTGCAGAAATAGCCACAGATTTATGATGTGCACTGTGGCTTCCTACTGCAGAAAAGAGTGACTGTAATGGCCTTTTAGATAATTTATCTAATGGGATGACCCGTTGGTTTCCAGGAGTAGAGTTGGGGTTTTTTTTGATTTTGCTATTCCATGAAAGAACATCTGTTCAAATCCTTACCATGTTGGGGGCCAGTCCAGTGCTAAGTCTGTTCAGCCAGAATTGCAGAGTCCTGATGCAGATCATCATCAACTGGCAGACAACATTCTGAAGTCACCTGTTTGAGGAGAGTGAGATACTCTTTACATATATTTATTTATAAACAAGCAAACAAACCCCATGTAGTTCCCCAAAGCCAAGACTGAGAAAATCACTTTTTGGGAAGCTGACATGGCCTTGTATCCTATTTACTTTCTCATATACCATAATTTTTCTTCAAAATCTTGTATTTCCTCCATGGACCTTTGTCAGTAGAGTTATTGCTCTTTACATATACTTATTTATAAACAAGCAAACAAACACCAAAGCCAAGACAGAAAATCACTTTTTGGGAAGCTGACATGGCCTTGTATCCTATTTACTTTCTCATATACCATAATTTTTCTTCAAAATCTTGTATTTCCTCCATGGACCTTTGTCAGTAGAGTTTGCAGTGACAGTTCCTGAGCTCCTCAGTTACAGAGCATTAATTGTGGGTACGTGTTCAGGGCTGTGTAGCATTTGTGAGTGTCAGCAGATAAGTGAATTCTCCAGGCTGTGCTGGAGTGTGAGATCTGTGTGCAGATCTCCAGCCAGCATAAGATGATGCAAGAACTGAGCTGACATTTCACCTTGCTGCAGCAGCTGCTGCTAATAAATCCCTCAGTTTAAAGAGCGGTGCCAAAATTGATTTAAAAATTGGGTGGTGGACAGTTTGGGTTTTTTCATGTGCAGAAAGACACTTAATTATGAAAGAGCAGCAGTAAGTCTTTAAAGAGACTGTTTCTTGTAGTGGATTTCGTTTAAGAAACACAACTCAGTCTGCACTAATAGAATGTGAACATAGCTGTAATCTCCCAGAAATGCAGAGTGTTAAATTTATTAATGGTTTGGAGGGGAATTTGGGTTTTAAGCTGCCTGGGTGTGTATTTGAGACTGTCACAGGTTTCACAGTAGCTGTGAAGCTATGTGGATGTGATGTGTTCTAAAATTAATACATGAACTTGATACTTTCTGCACATGGTTTTAGTAGCAGAGCACTGTCAGACAAGAAGCCTCACTGCCTCTTAATTCCTGGAAAGTGCCAAAAGCATGCTCCTTCAATGCAAATAGCTCCCATTACTATTAGGGCAATATTCCAAATACCACACTCATTTTTTGTGTAAAACCATCCTTTCACTGCACTGTTGGTAGACTCAATCTAGCAATAGTCCAGATGTTTTCTAAGCATAATTTAGGATAATGTGGGAGCTAAATGTACAGTGAAGAACATGTATTAATTCACTTTCCATATGAATTTCTGTGTCATGGACCCTGACAATCACTTGTGTGGAAACAGACAATTAATGAGCAGCATTGCTGGGATGCAGATGGGAAAGCAGAACAAGAAGTGGAGTTTTCATCTGCAGTTGAAGGTCTGCATTGCTATTCTGCACCTCTTTAGATACCAGTTGCTGTCGCTGTGTTTATTTAATGTGGACACTTTTTTTCCAGGGAATGAAGCAACTGTTGGGCTGTGTCTGTAACATTTGTTGAAATGTTGCTTTCCTTGGCTACAAGTGGAGGCTGAACTGTAGTCCTTGAACGCCCAGCAATTGGGTGTTTAAGCTATACTCAGTCTGTCTTTATTATACTAAAAGTTCATTCCTGCTCTGTTACTGTGAGCACTTTATAACTGCACGCTTGTTTTCTGTAGGAAATGGTTTTGTTTTCTGCATTGGTGTTCTTTACAGAAGCTGTATAATTAACAGTTTCTACAAAATGCTTCTAAATCATTTCAATGTCTTTACATGTAGACCTTCAAACAACCCTTCTCCAAAACCTCTGAAGTATTTAAGCAGGGTGTGATCTCTAGATGGGAATTACATCAGGCTTCCATGCACAGTGCTGGATCAGGTGACCGCAGTTTCTGAAGCTGATATTCAGGTCTGCTAAAGTACAACCTCCCATAAAGACAAACTGAGCACAACGTGTTTAGTAGGGGGTTGGAGGAAGGCAGCACTTTATTTCCCAAACACCAATATGTGTTTTTTTTTCTAAGCAGTGTTCTGCTCCTATAAATTGTCCTGCTGCTCTCCAGAACGTTAGCAAGTCCAGCCCACGTGCTGCCCGTGAACTTTAAAGGTTAAGCTCTGCACAATTGCTGCCCCCTTGGCTTAATAGTTTTGAACCATTATGAAGGTGAATGACACATTTACTTTTTAAAAACAGATCTAATCCTACAAATAGCAAATGCAGTGAGAGAGCTGGAAGCACACTTGTGGGCATACATTGGTTTTGTTCTTGGTATACCATCTTCTCCAGAGTTCAGTTCTTTCTTTTTGGTTTATTCCTTTCTAGTTGTTCCATTCACTTTCCTGACACTGTCTGGTTTTTACTTTCGAATGTGTTTCCTGCTTGTCCTTCCTCCCTCCATGTCCCTGGCTTCTTTCTCAGTGGGATCTTGTTACCATCACTGCTCTTGTTTTCCACTGTCTCTGACAGTGGCTCCTGCTCGCTGCCAGGTCTGATCCAGACATTCTGTCCTTTCTCCTGCTGCCTTTGCCTGCTCTTGTGGAGGCAGGGAAGGGTAGTCCATGTGAACTCTTTGACGCTTTGGGTACCTGGCATCTCTGGGAGGTTAAAAAATAAACAAAAGGAAATAAATGAATAACTTGTCTACTCTTTGGTGCTGCCGAGGCATTACCTCATATGGCACTTAGTGGAGAGCAGGGGGTAATTCTGTGTCCTGTGCACAGAAATAGCTGCTCTTTAGTGCCACTGGCAAGGAAACCTGTAAAGCTTAGCTGCAGTCACCTGCTTGCCTTTTCCCTCTTACCTTCCAGAATACTTGACAGTAACTCATTATGACTTCAGGAGAAGGATAATTACATTACCTTGTTGGACCACTATATTTGATGTAGGTTTTTCTTTAGATTATTAGTAAAAGAAAATCTTGGTGTGCTCAAACAGTATCCTGTATCTCTAGTGTGATGGGGTGAAATGGACTTCCCTTAGAGTAAACTATTCCCATATTCTACAGGTGTTGTTGAACAGAGGATTAATGTGCAGATCTATGGAGATCAAAATTTGTACTCTACAGTCTCCCAGGGACTGGAAGTACTTATCACCTAGCTCTAGGATCTGATATGCTATGGAACAAGATTTGCTGCTTAAATAGGCAATTAGTTAGCAATTAGTTATGTAAACATGGTAGTTATCACCTCCATGAAATACATCCAGGTATGTAATCCCTTCAATTCAAATTGAAATATTCAATTCTTCTTTGAAAAACAGAAGCAGCCTCGGGGTTGAGAATTTGACATGCTTGTTACAAGCACAGCTGCCTTTTCTAAACCCTTTAATGTGTCTAGGAAACTGTTTCGCTTGAACTTTTTTTTTTTTTTTTCACCCGCAGAAAAATGATGAGAATGGGAATTGCTCTGGTGAAGGGATTGAGTTTCCAACAACCAACTTGTATGAGCTGGAGAGCAGAGTTTTGACAGATCACTGGTCCATCCCCTACAAGAGGGAGGAGTCTCTAGGCAAGTGCCTGATTGCATCCACCTACCTGGCAAGACTGGGTGAGTTCCCTTTCACAGTTGCACAGATGATCTGTTCAGAGGGTGTCACAGACAGAATGTTGGGCAGTTGGGTGTTTCACTTTAATCTTGCTGCTGTTTATTTGCACCCTACACTACAATCACATCTCTGGGAAAGTGTTTAACAGTGAACTGTTCTACCCAATGCTGTAAAAACATCATTGATCTCTTTTCTGTCTCTCTAAAGTCATTTGTTTACTTAAGTGTTTTTTTTTTTCAAAAAGTGGCACATATGTTTATTTATGTTCTAATAATTGTGGGAATTACATCTTTTCAGAGCTAAATTACTGACTTTTTTTTTTTCCTTGTGCTGGTTATTTTCCATTCATAAAAGCAAGCTGTCATCTCAATCCCTGCTGTACCATTCTTGTATAAGTGGTTGCTTTTCTCTGGTGAAGTGCTTATATTGCATTAGATCTGAATTTGACTCTTCTTATTCAGTACTTTGGCTGGGGTTAAGAGTGTTATGGAGGCACCACACCCAACAACTGGTGTATAATGAGAGTACAAGATAGATTTTCAGTCATGCCTGATGGCAGACTAAAGGAATGTTGTAATCTCTTGGAAGAATAGAAGTTGTTAAGTGGTTCTGCTTTGCTTCTCTGTTTCCAATCTGTGTTAAAAAGCTGTGCTTCAGTTTTGGTGGGAGACTGTGAAGCATCAGTAATGTATGAATTGTAAACTCTGAAGTTTACAAGTTACTTATAGTGCAAATAATGCTTGAAAAACTTGTAAAAGATATTGGGAAATTAATTCTTAGTTCTGAAAGGCAGGTTCTCTCAAGTCATGCTTTTTGTGGCTTTAAAAGCGTGGTAGTTAGGAAGGAACAGTAGCACTTTTACTACTGCTAGTTTGGGTTGGTGTTCCTTCAAATTTGCAGCAAGGTGTCTGAGGTCATCTTAAAAAGTAAATTTTTAAAAATACAGTTAAATAGCACTCTCTTTTCTGTAAAGGTCTTTCTGATTCTGATGAGAATTGCAAGAGGTTTATGGACAGATGCATGCCTGAAGCATTTAAAAAGGTAAGTAGGTACAGAAGGCCAGTTCAATGTTTCTTTGTGATGTTCATGGTGGAAATGGTGTTTTGTAATCCAGACTTCAGGCAAATACTGAATGGGTTGTTAGATTAAAATCACACTCAAAATATTTTCCTAGATTAAAATCACAGAAATTTAAATTTAAATCATACAAGGTCCCAATTCTGTAACTCTGGCCAACTTTGGCACTTAGCTTTTTTCTTTTTTTCTTTTTTTTTTTTTTCTCTTAAATGAAGAGCCCTGGAGTAATTATTAGAGCCCAATGAGAGGTTTAAAGACCCTTGGATATGGCCACTGGTGGCAAGTTCATGGTCAGATTTCCATTAACTATTCTTTCTGTTATTTCTTCAGAGGGTTGCTAAATTCTTTTCACAATCCATTCAGAATTTTATCTTTCACCTCAGTTCTCAATGCCCTGTGTTTCTCTGGGCTGTTGTGAATTTGCTCTATAGAGCTCCCCAAACTAATTGACTTCCTACTATTCCATCCACTTTAGGTACTGCCTAAATTTCCTGCCCAGCATTTAGACAATATCTATAAAAATACATACATACCCTTTAAAAAGTGACTTTGTCCTAGTGTTAAAATACTGAGAATATAACTTCATTTAGGAAGGCAGAAATTGAAGGGTAAAATTTTTCATTTAATTATCAGAGTACTGATCTGATTGTAAACATACAATAGTTTTATATCACTTGGTGTTTTTTGCATATGAAATAAACAGTGTAGATTGTTCCTTCAGAAGTATAATCTGTAGAAATCTAAATTCAGGATGTGCTGAATTACAGTTTGCTGAAATATTTACAAGAAACTCTATTAATGTACAAAAAGTGATTGTTTTTAAACTATTAAGTTTTTTATCTGCTTCTGTTCAGGCACAGCAGAAATTAAATGAAATTTGCAGATGGCAGTCAAGTGTCCTTTATA